CCTCTTGTGAATATTCAGGCCCACCTTCACTTAGGGCGGGCACCGGGCTTGCTGGGGCCCACAGCCCAGAACATGTGCATGTCTGATAAGGGCCCTGTGAGGGCTCAATCCTCGTATTCCATCCCCCTTAGCTTCGAAAGTCCGCTGAGACGCTTCTACGCAGGTGCCTTGCCCTTCAGTCTTCGTTCGTACTCAGCCACGATCTAAGGTGCTATCTTGATAAGCTCCTCTCTTGCGAACCAACGATCTTCCTTTGGATCTGTATGATGCCTGAACCTGACCCAGTACTCCCTCATAGGTTTGGGCGGTCTTCCCCTGCCAGCTGGCTTGGGAAGAGGCAGATCTCTGTGTTCCAGGATGTCGTCCACGACCACGTGGCCATCCATGGTTGGAGCCAGCATTGACCTTCTTGATGGGAACTGATCTGTCGCAGCAAAAGGTGCAAGCTTTGAAGCGTGCAACACAAGGTAAATGCGCAGATATCCAGGGATTCTAATGACATACGAGGGACCGTCCAAATCATTACCTGCAACATCCAGAACCTCCCAAGGACCGAAGTACTGTGGCATCCGCGAGATTTCGAATTCCTGTCCCGGTTTACTAGCCTTTACCCAAACTCGTTCCCCTACCTGAAACGTGGACTGTCGACGATGCTTGTTCTCAGAAGCAATCGTTGCCTCTTGAGATTTTCTAATATGCTCGACAGCCTACTGCAATAGCTTCTCGTATTGGATACCAAAATCTATGGTTTCAGGTGTCGCAGTGGGTCGGTTTTCAGGAAGGAGGAAGTCTAGTGCAGATCAAGGCTTCCACCTCAGATGCAGCTGGTTGACTGACGTCGGTGGTGCTATGTACAACATTATTGTACAGACTGGCGATGAGAGGTAGTTTATTATCCCAATTATTTTGGCTGGGGTTAATATAGTGCCTTAGCAGATGTTGAACCACTTGGTTCATCTGTTCTGCTTGGCCGTTTGCTTCGGGATGATTCCCGGAAGTCACTTGGAGTTGGCTGCCCATTTGTTTTGCAGCCTTCTTCCACATGTCGCTGGTGAAACGAACATCTCTGTCACTAACGATAGTCTTAGGCAGTCCAAAATCACGCACCCAGTTATCCATGAATAACTTGATGACGTGTGCAGTTCTTTCAGACTCAGGCATGGCGATTAGTCTAACATACTTAGTGAACCGGTCTACTATGACGAAAATGTGTCTCTTGCCACTCTTGTTGGTCACGAGGGTATCCATGCAATCCATGGAGACACTATGTCCCGGACCTGCAGGAATGGGCAAGGGCTTGAGTAACCCAAACGGGGCTTGAGTTCGCGGCTTATCCTGCGGACAAACTTGGCAAGTCTGTACGCACTTCTTTGCATTGTCAAGCATACCAGGCCACCAGAAACGCTGTACTAAGTTAGCACTAGTCTTCTTATAGCCAAAATGCCCTGTTGCATCATGACATTCACCTAAAAACAAACTAGCAAAGTCTCCCTAGATGGAACAGCTAACCTTCTGAATCCTGCCTTCTCAAGAAAGAGTAACCCATCCACCATCATAAACTGATCAGATGTGGCCTTGTCTTGGGCCTCAAGTTTGCACATGATGTCCATCGTGACAGGGTCTTCCTTATTTCTTCCGCCAAAGACCGAGTTACATCGTCAGACAAGCCAAACTCAGTTATTAGCGCACCCAGGTAATCTGCCCTACGTGACAACGCATCAGCAACCTTGTTGTACTCTCCCTTCACATAGTCTAGCTGGAAGTCATACTGATCAATGACTTCAATCCAACATTTAAGTGTGTCAGAGAGAACATGTTGTGTCTTGCTCCACTTGAGTGTTTGATGGTCAGTTCTCAAATAGAAGAACCTTCCCAACAAATAGTGTCTCCACTAGACACTTTGTAGAAGGCGTAGAGTTCCCTATCATAGGTAGACTTCGCCAACTTCTTTGACAACATCTTCTTGCTCATGTACTCGATCGGCCTCAACTTGTTCCCTTCCTGTTGGGCCAGCACTGTGCCAATGCCATATTGGCTTGCGTCAGTGGTTACAACGAATGACCCCTCTGGATCAGGGACCATGAGAATCTCATGATGTGTGAGGGCGTACTTCAACCTTTTGAAAGCAGCCTCACATGCGAGATCGGTCAAAGGGGAGGCAACCGTACTATAGTTCTTCACAAAGTTGCGGTAGTAGCCGCGCATCCCTAAGAATGATCTGACCTCGGTCACAGACTGAGGTTGTGGCCAATCATGTATGCTAGCCACCTTTGCATCTTCAGGCCTAATCCCTTTCGCGGTTATCTCATGACCGAAGTACAAAATTTTAATACGACCGAATTTGCATTTCTCTAAATTTATCTTACACTTGTGCTGTCGTAGGAGGGAAAGTAATGTTTCTAAATGCTTGGCATACTCCTCGACGGTTCTACTGAAGATAAGAATGTCGTCGAGGTACACGACGATAAACTTATCCAAGTAGTCATGGAATATCATATTCATGGCGTGCTGGAATGTACCCGGCGCATTGCAAAGGCCAAAGGGCATCACCACAAACTTGTATAGACCGTACTTGGTTTGAAAAGCGGTTTTGTGTTGGTCCTCTGGTCTAATGGTAACCAGATGGTAGTCGGATTTTAAGTCCATCTTTGTGAAGTACTTACATCCCTGCACCTTATCCAGTAGGTCATCAATGCGCGGTAGAGGCTCTGCGTTCTTAACAGTGATGGCATTGAGGCCTCTATAATCAATGCACATCCTCATTGTTCCCCCTTCTTTGGGCCAAATAGAACTGGTGAGCCGAAGGGGGAGGTACTAGGCCAGATCCACCCCTTCTCTGTGAGCTCTTTCAGCTGCCGACGAAGCTCGTCCAACTCGTTCGGAGCCATCCTATAGGTTCTTTCCTTTGGTGTCTTGCTACCTGGGATGATCTCTATGGCATGGACTATCTCCTTGTCTACGACTCCTGAGGGCTCCTCAAATAGATCAAGGTACTTAGCAACGACAACTTCTATCTCTGGGGGTGATTTAACGGCCTCCCCTTTCTCATAGACAAAGACTAAGTACATACCCTCCTCTTGGTTCTATTAATAATAGTTATAAAATCCTGATGCACACATGCAACCGAAAGTGTCTATTAGACTCCTAGCTTTATATGTGGCAAGTCTGATTGCCCTCCCTTGCGGCGGTACATGCTTAAGCACCTTTCGGTCCTAGTCCAATTGGGGCTTTGCAACCTCAAGGTAGTACATACCTAAGAGCATGTCAAATGGCAAGTCATTGCTAACTCGGAACGAAATCTTATGATTAAGTTCCCCACCTCCATAATAGAAGGTGCAGACTGCGTTCTTGACGTAGTCATTGACAACCATGCGCTCTTTGTTGGCTAGGGTAGATGTTACTGATCTACCCAAGCATTGCACCCGGTCCCCTGGGCTCAGTCTATCAATGCAGTTGCAATTTATTAAGTTCTGCGTGGAGCCGATGTCTACGAAGGCACCACACTTGTGGCCACCTACTCCGACTTCCACAACGAAGTGCTCCCCTCTAGGACCTCTGGACCATGCTACCCAAGCATTGCACCCGGTCCCCTGGGCTCAGTCTATCAACGCAGTTGCGATTTCTGAAGTTCCGCGTGGAGCCGATGTCTACGAAGGCACCACACTTGTGGCCACCTACTCCGACGTCCACAACGAAGTGCTCCCCTCTAGGACCTCTGGACAATGCCATCCAAGACTCGCGAGGGTCCCTGCCGACCATTTGGTTTATAAGTCTTCTAAGGCTTCAGATACATCCAACAAACCAAGTGTCGTTTGGTCTGGATGTATCTGCGGGGTGACTAGTGCGTCAATGGCTTCGGCCAACTCCTGAAGTGGTGAGGGTACGCAAACCACCTCAACGTGAGTAGAAGCAGCCATAACTTCCATTGGCCCGATGTGTTTCCCAAGGTGGAACTCGTAGAAGTCCCACTTTGAGAGAAGGTTCCCCCCAAACCACCTTGAGAGACTTTTGCGTTCTTGCATTTGAACTGCTGATGGTGATACTCGCCGCAGTTAATGCAAGCTCCTCGCAAAATACCGATCCCTCCACACATCTTGTTCCAAGCCTGCCCTCACCCAAGCCGGAGTCTTGTTTGGGTTTTGGGCCTGCCCCTGACTCTTTTGCCGACCGCCCTTGCCGCAGCCAGCTGCCTTACCTTTGGTAATGGCAGCGAGGTTGCTACCCTCAACACTCTCCTCACCACCTAACTCTGTGTCCTCCACAAGATTGGAAAGATCGTCGATCTCGGTTTGATTCCCATCAGAATCAACCATCATCAATCGATTTCCTTTCTTCTTCCATTCTTGTGGTGGCTGTTCTCCCTCCCATCCATCACGGGTTGTTGTGCCCCTCCTAGCTTAGCCTCCAAGTCCAAGGACTTCTTGCTGAAGGAGTCACCATCCAGTTCTTGATGTTTGTGGGAAGACATCTCAAATACATGGTCAGCAGGACTTGTGGATCAAAGCGGACTCCAGGAACTCCACAGCAAAGGTAAGCTCACGTGGGGACTTGTACCTTCTAGTATCAAGCCGGGACAACGCATCAGTTGAGCTTTCCTCCTGACTGGGTTCATTGCACATCTGTTAAAATTGGAACGACACAGAGGCACTCAGCATGACTCACAGCCGACCGTGCCCAGAAGTGAAAAAAAAAAAAAAAAAAAAAAAAAAAAAAAAAAAAAAAAAAAAAAACCAAAAAAAAACAGGGGTTGTTTTTTTTTTTTTTTTTTTTTTTTTCAATACCCA